ATTTTGGGAAACCCCCAAATACCGTTCTAAAACCCCTATTACGTGGGGACTTGGATCCTAAAGGCCAACGGATGGCCCAACGTTGTGCCATGGATTGCTCCCCAGTCTCCACTCAAAACCAAAAAGCTTCGCAACCAAGGCCTCCTGTGTAGTTCCTGTTTGGGGGGGTTGTTATGGTTTTTTCGTGATTGATTATAACATAATTAACACCCAAAAAGGAGCCACATAGGAGGGTCTGGGTAAAAACCGAAAAGCTTCGTGTAGCCCAGCTTATAGACTGCTAGATTTAAATCATTGCCGCTTCTTCCCGCTACGCTAAATCGGCCGTAGTGATTACTTCTTCATGCAGGTCCTGCTCGCTTAATTACTTAACTCAAACGCTGAAAGAAGAAGACTTCAACTCTGGGAAGAGCTTGTAAAGCCGTTAGCAGAAACTCAGAACCTCCTGAAGAAGCCAAGTGGGATCCCAGGTATATTCGTCGAGGCAGGTTCGATGGGAGGAGGAAGACCCCCAAAATGGGGATCCTACGGTCCTACAGTACGAGTCATAATTATGAGAGTCTTTCGGGGGCTGGGGTCATCAAAGTACGCCTTTTGTTTGGTGGCCTGAGGAAAGGCCCGGAATGAAACAAGATCAAGCCATAACCCCTCCGCCCAACACGGAAGAAAAATGAACTGCTCTATGACCTGTATAAGCATACGTTGGATGGGCCTAGGAGGAGAATACATTGAACCCTAAACCACACCAACTTGGCTAAACTATGATACTGCCAGACCCTGAAAATCAAGGCAATGCGGCACTAGCCAAGTCCTTTTGGGGGTCGGTGGGCTAGGACACTTGTGTATTAGGCTCGCACCCAACTCAACATATTGCATGTTCTAGAGGGAACGGCCCGACGGCCCGTTGGCCCGCTTCAGCATGAGGCCCGTTCCTCGATACTTGGCACCAGCAACCATCCCCCCAATGTCCAAAGAGATGACCTCTGTCAGGGGCTTAGGGTTTAGGGTTCGGGGTGCGGAGCTTTGGGCTTTAAGTCGTTTGGAATGCAATGGCAAAGGGCATGCAAAAGAAAATGTGACACGTCTTCTACACGATCGATTCTGAATCTGGTTCGTATCAATGCCCCGGTCAGGACTGCCAGCATTGAATTCCCCGAGGAAATGGCATTCTCGGACGCAGCTGGGTCCAAGAGGCTTGCGTGAAACCTTAAACTTTAAATTTCTTAAGGCGAAACAGAGCAAAAGCCTTCTACATTAGGACCATTCCCCCTATCGTAATAACCCTTGAGGCCTTTGAATATGGAGTTAAGAGGGCCTTAAAATACCTACAATAGTCCCTGGTGGTGCCGATTGCTGTGTGGGGGATTGACCCAACTTCTACAGCACGGTAACAACAGCTTGTATATGTCTCTTACAACTGATGGAAAACCCAATGTAAAATCACATGGAAAAGGAAATAAATTGGGAGCATGTAAGGGATTAGCGGAATATCGGATGGAAAAGAACATATGGGAATACATACTCACACTACAAGAGGGGCACTATGCCTTAACGGTCTATTGGTCCCAAATTTGCACATAATCTGTCATAAGTCCTGATTCTTGGGACTCTGAACAAATGGACTCCCAAATCTTGGAACCCCAAGTGCAGAACCCGAATGGGCTCAAGCCCAGAACCCCGTCGCAGAGCCGAGCCCTACCTCCGATACATACAGAAATAATGGACATATCATAGCTTGTATATACAGTCTCCCTTAAGTAGATAGAACATGGGGAATATGGGGATCTTACTATAGAATAGGTCAAGTCCATATTCTATCTAGTTAAGATGGACTATAAGACATTACATATATGAACAAACCCTGACCCTGTTTGCCTGCTTGTCCTGGAGTGTCTGCGGCACGTCGCCATCAATGATTCGCCTAGCAAGGCCTTCCACGATGGCTGTTTTGCCCACGCCAGGCTCACCAATGATCACCTGAGCTGGGTTAAGGGTTTAGGTTTGATCTTAAGTTTTCTGATGATTCCCCCCCAAATAATGGAAAACCAAATGGAAAAGCACACAGAACATGAAGTGGAAATTGTGATAGATGGCATCTTGCGGGTTTATAAGGATTAGGGCTTCCACATAGGGATTTTATCACACTGGGGACCTATGTTGGCACCCCCCCCTTTTTTTGTGAACTTGTGTTTCTTGTCCAGGTGATGAATCTTCTGACCCCGACATCAGGAATCCGTGCTTCAACCCCCCCGGATGTAGGGTTCTGAGGGTTTAGGGTTTAGCCCTCCGACCCCACGTCTGGCAGAGTATATAGAGATGCTCAAACGATAATTCCGTTCGTGTTCGTGTTCCAAGAGCATGCGATC